CACATATATACACACACACACACACACACACACACACACACACACACACACACACAACACACACACACACACACACACACACCGCACTGATGCATTATAAGTGTTCATAATGTACATCATAATGCATTCTATCCTTTCTTAACTCTAAACACATTTAAAATTCATTATGATTTCTTGTTACATCTAAAATCAAGTCTGAATGCAGATTATGTAACAGTGAATAGAAAAGCATTGTAACATTATTACAAACATTCATGAGATCATTATAAAGTGCATTACAAGGCATAATTAATGCATTAAAAACGTAATACTTTTATAATGTATTACATGTAAAGCTGAGCTGCAGAAGACAAAGTAATACATTTCAGATGAAATCTGTCAGAATCTGCGGTAATTCTGTGTAGCTAAGTTTATTGACTGTCATTAAAGGAAAACAGACAGCAAATACCAAGGCTTGTCACAAGTTCACTCAAGTGCTGATAATTAATTTGTATGTATTTGATATTCAATCAGAGGGAAAAGGGGGTGGGCCGAGTCTCAGTGGACGTGTCTGGCTCTGCCACATATAAAGTTTACTCACTCAGGATTTTTACTAGGGCTTTTGGACAGGTGTCATCATTACACTCCTCTGATTTACACTGGTGGAGTCCAGAATTATCATAATTCAACTGTATTGATTCTTCGTCACCAAATTTTCCACCTTTACATATCAGAAGCATGTTCTGTTCATCAACAGAGATCTCTAGCTTATTCGAAGGATCTGCAAAGTTAACATTAGATCAGATTAATGGTGTTTCCTTAAGGTCAAAATACTAATATGATTCTGAAAAAGCAAATAAAAACACTGGAGGAACAGCTGAAGACGATTCTTACCGTCTGATCTCACAGCCGTCAGCAGACAGAGCAACACAAACACACGTCTGTCCATCTCTCAGTGAGCTGTTATTAATATTAATCTCTTCTCCTGCCTGTAAATAAACACAGTGAGTCTGAACGCACTCTCCTCCATTTTGTCGTGTGAGCGTTCATCTTCTCAAACATCAGCTACATCTCAAACGACCTTCGAAAGCTCAATGTCTGACCTCTACCGAACTGAACAAAACATGTAACAAAATGTAACAAAATATAACAAAAGTTTCTAAAGTTTGCTTTCACTGAAATCACAAAAATGTTGCATTAGTGAAAAACAAAGACACATTCAGCTCTGAAGCATTTGCTTCTTCTGATGAAATGATACATTTAATATCACTTTAAAATAACACTCGGTTCATTAACGTTTGTTAATATACAGATATCTTAATTTAGGCATCCTAAACTAACAAGGAACACACTTTTAAAGCATTTATTCATTTTGGTTAATATTAATTTCCACATAATACATTGAAACATCAGAAATTGTATAAATTAAAGTAGGCTATTATGAACGAGCGTGAATTAACAATGAACAAAAGTACAGTCATAAATTCATTTTATAAATGAACAACGAATTAGACCTTAACAGAAAAAATTAAAACTAGTCTATTTATTAATATCAAATCACAGTCCAATCGAAAATTATTTAATTAAAACAATCGAATCTGTCAAAGTTAGTTAGAGTTGTAAATGAAAGATTAAGTTTTACACAGACCTGAGAGGCTGCAGATGTCGAGTGATTTCAGGCGCGACGAGCGGAAGACTCGATGAACCGGAAGTCAGAAACCGACACGACGCGATCTGGAGCTCGACTCAATCCAGATCTTCTGTAATAAACAATGATGAGTTCAAACGAAGAAATGACGCTCAGAAAGTCAAACTCATCCTAATATTAACTAACGTTAAACAAGCGTAACATTAAAATCAATATAGTAATAAAAGATGCGGTTTCTATTCAAACCGGCCAGATCCGCTCATAAGCGCTGAAAATGACTCTCTCTCTCTTTATGTGTGTGTTATCATTATTTCATGCACTTACACACAGTCTGAGATCAATAAGAGCAGAAACTGCAGATGAAAGATCTACATTTGACTTCCGGTGCATTAACGGAAGACCACAAACACCTGCGAGAGTAAGAATCCTTGAGAACACACAGAAACTCTGAGGACACAATGTATCTCTCCTTTCCCAAACCTCCCAAAGCCAAGGAAGTACACTTTAACATTTTTAATGATACCTACCCATCGTTAGTTTCTTAGATGTAGATTTAATATTGATCACAATAATTGTACCTTTTGTGTTGTTGATATTGAAACGACTGTACGTACATTTATTCTTTGACTGTTTAATCTTTTGGTCTGATACATTTAAGTGTCTTAAAGTTTCAATCAAGCTGTCTTCTCAATTTTCTAAAAATGATATATTTTTTGCTTTTTGTTTCTTATTTTCATTTTGATTTTGATCTGTGCTGTTCTTTAGGATCTTCTTATGATCTTATATTTCCTTATTGTATTTGTATTTTCTTGCAATAAAAAAAAGAGAGAGAAACTCTGACACACACTGGACTGTGCGATCGATATGATTTATTGAGGTATTTCATCATATGACTAATAATACACAAACAAGAGACACATAATCACTGGAATAATTAACTAGTACTAGTTAAGCTCAGGTTAACAGCCACAGCTGCAGTTTAACTAGTAGCGCCTCCTGCTGGATGGAAACACAGTGACATGCGTTATTAAATATATTCATATGTACATATTCATAATGAGCTTTACATATATACTTACAGTAAATATACATACGCATATGATCATAACACCTTACCAACAATACTCTTTATATTCATTTAAATATATAGATTTCTCACATATTTATCTTTATTTGCAGATTTACTGAACATTCCTTTATATTAAACAAATATAATGCAGCATTCCATATAGCAGCAAAGAACTGTGGGTAAATACTGAGGAAAGCACGTATGTACAGTCTGTCGATGTTTAATTATTCACATACAGTGATGGTCAGTCAAACGGTTTGTGCGAATCATTCCATTCGTGATCTGATTCACTTCCGTTCACACTGATTCCCTCTAGACGCATTTCAGAGATTCATCAATACAGACTATAAATATGTCCTATAAATGTTTTGCTAACGTTCCCATTAAGTTCAAAACGTTATATTTTGGTTCTGTGAACGTTAAGGGAACGTTCCATTTTAGAATTCTGCAAACGTTATGTGAACGCTACTTTTGAACGTTCTCTGAATCGTCTGAGACTAATAAATAGTAACATTTTCAAAAGTTAGATGATGTCCAACTGAAATGTTTCATAAAAATGTTTCACAAACAATGAATAAATATTGTTTTGAGAAAGCCAGAAAACTGAAAGAACGTTTCTTCATAACTAACTCTGAGAACATGATCACATCTGATGAAAAAACACTTTTGAACACCAAAAATAATATTAATAATCAAGTGCTTCTGAATGAACTACAGATCCCATGATTCCCTGTTTTTGACGTCACTGAATCAGTCTGTGATTTAAACTCTTTTTCTCTGATTTCTCAAACATTTCAGGAATCATCATCACCACTGCTACAGTTAACTAATGTAGTCTAGCTAGTGTGGAAATAGCCTCTGATTGGTGTTTCCATAGTAACAGTGGTTTCTCAGATCAGGGGATTATGGGTAATGCAGTTCTTCAGCAGGACACTCTCAGTCGTTGAGATCTCAGATATGAGGCTCGATGTCTGAGAGATTCATCAGCCTCGGCAGGGCGTGAGGTCAGAGGTCAGAGGTCAGCTGTGGGTCGTCATGGCTCTGTTTGTGCGTGTGAATCAGAGCCAGATCTCGTCGCTGCTGGTGCTGCTGACTTTATAGATGTAGCCAACCATCGGATAGCGAGCGAAACCTGCGGAGACACGGAATCACATCAAAACCACACCGACAGAGCCGTCTCCACAGACTCTTGAGCTTCAGCTGGACATCAGTCACGGTTCTATCATCTATCATCTATTGCGACTGATAACGCAAACACGCAAAACACTCTCAAAGCCGCATGTCTGGATCTGTCGAGTGAGGAACATGAACACAAGATTATTTCTACAGCACATTTCTACACGCCGCTAGTTTCAATTTCACTTAAATTACTTTAGGCTTGGCATTTATTATAAATGCTGTTTCAAACGAATGCCACTTAGTTTTATTATAGTTTTTATTAATATTTTGAATTAGCTTTTACTTTTATATTTTCATTTAAAGCTTTACTAATTTTGTTAAGTGTTTGTCATCATCATCATCATCATTCTTCTTATTATAAATATGTCTAGATAGTTTTTATACTAAAATGGGAGGAGAGGTATCCAAAGCACATCAACTGGTCACTGGGGTTCCTCAGGGCTCAGTTCTAGGACCGCTTCTCTTCTCCATATACAACACCACACCGACAGAGCCGTCTCCACAGACTCTTGAGCTTCAGCTGGACATCAGTCACGGTTCTATCATCTATCATCTATTGCGACGCAAAACACTCTCAAAGCCGCATGTCTGGATCTGTCGAGTGAGGAACATGAACACAAGATTATTTCTACAGCACATTTCTACACGCCGCTAGTTTCAATTTCACTTAAATTACTTTAGGCTTGGCATTTATTATAAATGCTGTTTCAAACGAATGCCACTTAGTTTTATTATAGTTTTTATTAATATTTTGAATTAGCTTTTACTTTTATATTTTCATTTAAAGCTTTATTAATTTTGTTAAGTGTTTGTCATCATCATCATCATTCTTATTATTATAAATATGTCTAGATAGTTTTTATGCTAAAATGGGAGGGGAGGTATCCAAAGCACATCAACTGGTCACTGGGGTTCCTCAGGGCTCAGTTCTAGGACCGCTTCTCTTCTCCATATACACTACATCACTAGGTCCCATCATACAGGGCCCTGTCTAGCTTGTACTAATCTGAACAATGCCTGAAACTTTGTATTGCAAGCACTTCCTGCGTTTATTTGCCTCTTTATGATGAATCACTTATTGTATTTCTCAATTGTAAGTCGCTTTGGATAAAATGCAAATGTAAATGTATATTTTTTTTTAAATTTCGGTTTTCGTTTTATCTTAATACATCAATTTGAACTACATGAAAATAAGAAATATTGTAGGCCAGGGCGATAAAACGGTATCGATATTTATCGACGGTACACCTTCATCGATAACGAT